TGTGTTGGTCATGGGTCTTGAACTCTGGGCCTGGGCACTGTCTCTCAGCTCTTCAGTTCAAGGCTGGCACTCTTGATCCACAGCACTACTTCCAGTTTTCTGGTGGTTAATTGGAGATAAGAGTCTCATGGATGTTCCTGCCTGGGCTGGCTTTGAACCACAATCCTCAGCTCCAAATTACACAGCTAATACCTGAACTGGGAACGAAACTTCTCATCTTGTTTCCAAGATGAGCACCAGAGGCCTGTAGGCACCCCTTGAGAACAGAAGCACGTGCCTCTGCATGCAGTTATCCATTAGCATTCTTAAGTGATAATTCACCTCAGTTCTCCCCATATACTGGGTGGAGAGGGGGCAGAACGGCTCTGGCTTCCAGGCTCCTTCCACTGAACTCAAGGGTGGGGCTACCTCCTGGAGCTCCCTCTGAATCTCTGCCTCTCAACTCCAGCTCTGGGATGACCCACTCACAGGCTCCACTCTGGTCTGGTCTCATCCATTTGCTCTTTGGGACATGACCAGGCAGGTAGTTAAGCCTTCCTACGTTTAGGAGGAAGTTGGGAGAAGCCACAATCTTTCATGATGGATATTAGCCATTAGAATGGGTGGAAGGTCACAGCAAGGGGGAAGGAAGAATGCCCTGGTATTTAAAAGTGTACCTATGACCACAAATCAAACTTCACACTCGCAGGGAGCTGGTGACTATATTTTATTAAATCATTTTGGAGTCCCTGAAGTGGTCCCTCAAAAACCTTCAGTAACGACATACGTATGATATGAACAGAGACACTCATTGCCACAGGTAGTTTTTATGTGTACTGAAGGCTTTATGTTCCTAGAGAGAAGGGTAGGAGAGGGAGGGCAAACTAAACTCTTAAGATAAATACAGATGAAGATTCAGAGTTAATCAGAAGTTTTCAAGTGAAACTTCCCATCCTTGAAGTTGCTACAAAATGTTTCTTGATAGTTTGCTCTGACAGTAACCTGCAATGCAAAACGCAAAGCCATTAATGAGAGAAAGGTGGGCTCAGTGTTCATGTCCATAAGGCATACCGTGGTGGTCTTCATTCATATGAATGAAGCTGGCCTTCATTCATATTCTGCCTCCTTTGAATGAATGGCAGTAAATGATGCCCTCTAAATGAGATGTGGCTATATACATAAATACGCACACACATGTATACCTGTATACACAGGTATACACACACACATATATTGCAGAGCTCAGGACTGAACTTAGGGCCTTGACTTGCCAGGCAAGTGCTCTTCCATTGAGCATGTGGCTATAATTTATACACACCCTCATACCCTCAAGGTTGTTCTTAAAACCCTTTAAATTTGGGGGTAATGGAGGGGCTGTGATCCAAGAGCATAAGACCTGCTGTGTGGATCAGTGCTTTATTATTTGGGGCCAAATATAGTTCATTGCTAGACTCCTGGAAGGACCTCCAGAATGGACCTCTTGGTCTCCCTGGCTTTCTCGTATTTGCAGATGCAGTGTTTTTGGAGGCCTGCCCATCCCGAGACCCCCACCCCGCCCCAGGAGGAAAGCGCACTCACCATTGTGCTCGATCCACCGGTACTGCCGGTCCAGGCACAGCTCCTCCTGCCTCTGCCTCACCAGTCTCCGTGCCTCCGGGGTGAGGCCGCTGGGATGGCGGGAGAACACGAAGGAGTAGCTGTCGGCACACGTGCCGTCCAAGTTCAGCAGGCGGCAGGAATACTGCAGCGCGAAGGTGTCATAGTCCGTGTCGATGATCCAGTGGTCATCATCTGCAAGCCAGACAGCCACAGGGTCCACTGACTTCCTGCCCTCAAGAGGGATCTGTGCAAATCCCTTCCAGTACCTTCCCTGAACTGCCCCCATCTCTACTTCACTTAGCCTTCTCGTTGACATGTGAC